TCAGATATATTGGGCTTAATACTTACTAAGGGAGAAGAAATAGTTGAAGAAGTGGAAGCAGTAGGAACTGTGGGAGAGAATGACCATGTAATTCTAGAATCCACCATACTGCAGGCCAGGAGAACTGAAGGTAGCCAGATTAGTGTTCTGGACTTCAAGAAAGCTGACTTCAACAAGCTAAGAGAAAAAGCAGGAAGGATTCCATGGATGGAAACCCTTAGGAGAGTTGGGAAATTCTGAAAAATGAAGTAACTATGGCCCAACCACAGTCAATACCAAAGAGGAAAAAAAACGGGAAGCATCTGACGAGGCTGGTGGGATTGCACCAAGAGCTCTCTGATTAACTGAGAAACAAAAAGGACAAGTTTAAACAATGGAAAAGGGGGCATACAACAAAGCAGAAAATCAGGAAAAACCCCAGATGTGCAAGCATGGGGTCAGGAAGGCTAAGGCTTGGCATGAGCGAAGGTTTGCTGTGAATACCAAAAATAACAAAAAATGATTCTTTGGGTGTGTCTGGAACAAGAGAAAGTTATGGAAAGGACTGGAGAAAATGGCAAGTCGGTGAGGGAGAAAGCTGAGCTACTTAATTCTTATCTTGCATCTGCCTTTTCACAAAAGGAAAAGAAATGCAGATAAAAGTAGGTAAGGAGTTGGTAGTAGAAATGAATTCAAGTCTCCTGGGTCAGATGAATTACCTTCCACGGAGATAAAGGAAGTAGCAGATGTCATCTCAGAACCACTGACTGAATATTTGAGAAATTCTGGAGCAATTCTGGAAGTGCCAAAAAACTGGAGAAGAGTTACTGTTGTTTCAGTGTGTTAAAAAAAATGGGGGGGGGGAGAGTGGACCCAGGAAACTACAGACCAATCAGCTTGACATCAATACCTGGGAATATCCTAGAAAAAATAATCAGGTAGCAGGTTTGCGAGCACTTAAAACCAAACAGGGTGATTATCAGAAGCCAGGATAGGTTTATTAAAAACAGGTCATGCCAGACAACTCTTATTTCTTTCTTTGGCAATGTGACTGGATTAGCGGACCAAGGGAACGTTGTGGATGTAGTATTAGTAAGGCATTGGATCAAGTAGATCACAGCATCCTTCTTGATGAACTGGAAGCATATGGGATGGAAGGGTCCACTACCAGATGGATTCACAGTTGGCTGAACAACCATAGCCAACATTGGTCCTTCCTGGGTCTATGTCCACGTGGAGGGAGGTATGCAGTGGGGTGTCTCGGGCTCTATCCTGGGCCCAGCATGCTTCAACATCTTCATAAATGACGTAGATGAGGGAATAGAAAGGATGCTCATAAAATCTGCACATGACCCAAAGCTGGGGGGTGCGATTGCTGACACCTTCAAAGACAGGCTCAGAATTCAAAAGGACAAAAGGATAAACTGGAAGATTGGGCCCTCTCCAACAAAATGTTGTCTAATGGTGAGAAATGTAAGGCTCTGCGCTTAGGCAGGAAAAAACAGATGTGCAGGTACAAGATAGGTGGTATCTGGCTTAGCAGTAGTACTTTTGAGAAGGATCTGGGTGTCTTGGTAGCCTACAGATTAAGCATGAGCCAGCAATGTGCTGCTGCAGCCAAAACAGCCAATGCAGTTTTGGAGCTGCATCATAGAGGTATAGTGTCCAGATCACAGGAGGTGACAGTACCACTCTGTGCTGCACTAGACAGACCACGCTTGGAATACAGTGTCCAGATCTGGTTGCTACAGCACAAAAAGGATGCTAAAGAACTGGAAAGAGTGCAGAGAAGAGTGACAAGGATGGTATGGGGCTTGGAGGCTAAATCCTACAAAGACTGGTTAAAGGAACCTCAAGAAGATGAACAAACATCTGATGATGTTATCTAGCTGAGTAATGAAACATCTGCACTCAAACCACCAAGCTCAGAGAGCCCCAAGGACTTCACAATCCAACCTTGAGCTACAGATATTCTCTTCTCTTGGAGCCTAAAGGCGGCTAAGAGATGCTACAATAGCAGTCTTCCAACACATGAAAGGATGTTATAGGGAAAAGGTGTGGATTTATTCTCCAGAGTATCCATGGGTGAGACTAAGACCAAATGGTGGAAGCTTTACAGTGGAAGATCCAAATTTCCCAACCACGTGAGCTTGCCTCCCAAAGTCCAGGGCACTCTATCACTGGACCTTTTCAAGGATGGTGTGAGGATTCTTGAGTTCAGCGGGGGGCTGGGCTGGAAGATCTCCAAGGTCCCTCCCAACCCTAGGATTCTGAGATAAATCTGTGATAAATCTTGAGGAGGGAGCGCACTTGGAGGCGAAAAAGTGGGTTAAGGAGCAAACTGGGTTAATTGAGAAAAGCACGGTCAAGTAAATTCTATGTTATACCAGCTAGGTGATAGCACTTGAATTATTCTGATTGGTCTAGATCTGTGTTGCACAACCTTGGCAACTCTAAGATGTGTGGGCTTCAACTCCCAGAATTCCCCAGCCAGCCATGCTGGCTGGGGAATTCTGGGAGTAGAAGCCCACACATCTTAGAGTTGCCAAAGTTGAGAAACAGTGATTTAGAAAGCTGAGCAGAGCCAGCCAGCAGCCAGCCATGCTGGCTGGGGAATTCTGGGAGTAGAAGCCCACACATCTTAGAGTTGCCAAAGTTGAGAAACAGTGATTTAGAAAGCTGAGCAGAGCCAGCCAGCACATAGAAAGGCAGCTGTGTGGGAAGTCCAAAATTTAAGTGGGAAATCTAAAAAAGAAATTCTAAAAAGATTTTGTTTCGTTGCCCCGGAAATTCCACAGAGGTTTCCATGCAGGATACCAACCAGGAGTTGAGCTTTTCCTGGGAGTACAGTAGGCTTTATTTTCCACCCCAGGGTGCACGCTTGGCAAGGGCCAAGCCCATGTGGGGAAAGCAAGCCGTGGCCTTTGACGCAAGCGACTCCTGTTTTTTCTGCCCGGGTTCTGCACCAGGAGTCCACTCCCGGACTGGAAGGGGGTGTCGTCTGGGGGGCTTGTCCTGCGGTTGTTTTAACCTGGTTACGTAGCTGGCCACAGAACATCAGGAATCCACGGTCTAGTCAGCCGGACGCTCCGAAGCCATTGTTGGAAAGGAGAGCGGCGCGCCGGTGCGCCCGCGAGCAGCGCCGGCAGGCTGAAGGGCGGCCGACCGGGATTCCCCGGAGGAAGCGAAACTCGGCTCCCCACCCGCCGACGACGAGACCCCGAGGAGCATCTCCGCCGGGTTCCCTCCGCACCTGCCGAGCCCCCGGAGCCCGCTCCGGAAAGAGGCGTTCGCTGTCCCCGGTCTTCCCCGCGCGTTCGCGGGTTTCGCAGCGCAGCTGGGCGCGCACGCGGGGATCAGGGCCCCGCTTCGCCGGTCCCGTTCGAAACAGC